CCTGGGAAGAACTAGTCCCAACTCTTCTTCCAGTGGTTCCCCCAGCACAGCCCGACCACGTAGCGACTCTGCTCTGCCAGAGCCTGTTCACACCAGCGCTGTCATGCTAGTGGAAAATCAAAATACACACCACGATTTACATTTACATCACTTAATTGTTTGTTGTGTGGAACTTCAATTCTATAGAAGGTTTTCTGAGCCTGACTTTAAATAACTGCTGTGGTTGAATCCCCGCGTGCTGGAAACCAAGACACTGGAGGTCACTTTCAGCAGAGAAGAGATTAGCAATGGTGTAACAGCACATTGCAAACCACCTCCTGAGGATGGCGGGTAAACTATTTACAGAATTCATTTTCTCACTCCTGTGAATTGACTTTGAAGAGATCCTATCACTACTTCTTCGGTATTCACACCATGCCTCTTGCTGGAGATGGATACGCTGCCTTTCTTGGAAACAGGAATTATTTATTCTGCAGAAAAACATCTCTGTTATGCAGACTGCTTCCCCAAATTAATTTGTATTCTTTACTTTATTTAACATCCACAACAAAAGTTAATTATTTTCAGCTCAGTGTCCAATATTCACAGTATAATTAAGTAGCTGACAAGGGACAGAACAACGGATGGCTGCACCGAGTTGAGCAGAATTTAGCGCAGTTACGCAATGTTTGTACTTACCAGAGCTGGGCAGCGAGATACTGAAATATTCAGAATGAAACAGAGTCTGCAGTTTCCTATTTTAGTAACCCTGATGATGCACAAAGGCAGGACGTACACCGTGTTAGATTGTGTGAACGGATGAACGCCGGCTTTATCCCAATAGGCCAGTGCAGATGAGCAGTTTCTCCTCTTGAATTTCTTATCAGAGGATAAAGAAACCCTTTGACTAAGTGGTCTGCCAGAGCCAACTCCATCGAACAACGCCGGGCCACCCTCCTCCTCACCCTCCCGTGCCGGGGAAGGAGTCTCGGCTGCTCCAGGTGCGATGGCTTTGGTCTCCCACCTTCCAGCAATTCTGCCGTATCTCTTGTTGTTTCTGCTGTGTGAAGGCACGGGCTGCTGCTCCTGAAACCACCTTGGATAAAGAGTCGTGAAGCCAGCAGGCAGATGTTTGCCTCCTCAGTGCTGACAGTTAATCATGCTACAGAAGCTATGGGTGCGCACATCGTGACTGCCATGCCGGCTTTAGTCACTCGTTAGTCTTCCCTTCGGGAAGGAGCAGGACGGATCTCCACGCAGACAATCGTCAGTGTCACCACCGGCGCTCACAGGCACAGCTCCACCTTCCAGAGCGGGCTGCAGACACAGCTCAGTTTGTCCAGATGCTTTATTGGAAAAGGACTGAGAAACGGCAGCTTCCCAGCGATGAGCAGAGCCAAGCCGGGGCTGGGAGAGAGCAGCCAGTGTTTTCACAGAAACCAGCCAAGGGTCTAGAAATGAGACCCCTCTCCAGGGGGGTTATCAGCAAACAATGTGTGCCTAGGATGTCTCTGCCAAAAACGTCTCTGACTGTCCAGACACCGGGCTGGCGGCCATCCCAACACATTCATTTTTTGTCATGAACTGAAGAATGTAATTGAAATGAAAAATCTGCACGAAGACTTTTCAGGACAAGCGATAGCTGGCAGCTGGCTGATACGTGCAGGAAAATACCTGCCAAGAGCGCTGTGCCTGCTGCACACACTACAGACGGAGCTACTAGCACCTGCTTAAATACAAATCCCAGGAGCGGGCACGACACCACCATCCTTCATTCATAACGGTTATTGCTTTAAACTTTGAAACAAAAACCTGTCTCCCAAACCTGTTCTGCTCCTTCCAGTGATTCGCTGGGAAACGAAGCCAATGGCAGCCCTGCCAGCAGCTCTGCTGTGCTCTTACCTTCTTGGCGACGGTGTCGGGGGGCACGTCCCGCCGCCCCAGCGGGTAGGGGTTCCACTGGCTGCTCACAGACACCTCCTCCTGCCCGTTGTCCAGAATGCTGCTCTGCTGCGACGGGGTCTGTTGCGGAAACGGTAGGGCAGCCTTTAGTCACTGTGTATGTCATGACAAAAAATTCTCTCTTCATATTTATTTCAGTAATCAACCCGGTGAAACCGCAACACGCTATGGCTAACATGGAAATACTCTGGCATTTTGACAGCATTTCGTTAGCATGTAATCATATTGCTGTGGGACTCTCTGCCAGGAGGAGATCTTGGGAGATACACGAGAGGAATAATGAGAATAATGAATGACGAGAGAAAAGAGAAAATTAATTTAACATAACTCCTTATTTTCAGACAAGTGAATTTTGTCAAAGTTCCATATTTAAAATTGCAGTCTGCCGTTCATCATCCTTACTGGTCATTCAAGCATCAGAATCTTTTTTATGAAGCATTTGCCACCAAGATTAAATGATATAATTTTTTTCAGAAAACATTCCCTAATGGCAATATTGAACGGTGGCACCGTTCCCTCGCGCTGTGCTCTGTGTGTCACGCTGCTCACCGGCCTCTCTCCAGGACACGGGTGGTTCTGTTCTGAGTTAACAGGATATCATGTGCACAATATTAACCAGGTGTGGACATAACACACATCTAAAGTTTCCTGAATTTGACACTTGTGTCATTGTTTTCCACCTTTTTTTTCCCTTTTAGACTCATTTCTTCTTTGTCACTTTCCCCACTATACTCCTGTTTTCGGTATTTTTGAGGGCTTGTGTATTTTTTCTGTCCCATCCTGATTTTCTGTCTCTCTGTATTTCTTTACCATAGCTGGGAATTTTGCTAACGTGGATATAGATTTCCAAAATGCCAGCATCATACAGCACTCAGCATTGCACAGTGCTTATTCAGCCTCTGCTTACTCAGCTCTGATTCACGGCAATCCGCAAAGAAAAAAAAGAGAAGTCTATTCCCCCCTTTCATTATCCAAGCAGTTTTTTCTTCAGCTTAGATCTAAAAAAAGGAAACACTCCTTTAGATGACTGAAGAAGAAATGAAAATGCTACTCTGAAATATTAAGGCTGATGACTGGTCAATTAAGAACTTTTTTTAATGCAAGCTTAATAATGCTTCAAAAATAAATATAAGTAAACAGTGATTGAATCATACTCCTCAGAGGCTAAGTAAAAAAATTCACCCCTAATTATTTAAAATCAAAGAAAACTTTCATCATAATTCCCTCATCATTCAAGAAATCTTCCAGAAAAATCAGGAAAGGTGTGATTTTCCTGATATTAAAGACCACTAGAAAAACCTTCTGCTGAAGGTACAAGACCTCGCCTTGGAGCTTCCTTTACACACACCAAAACCGGAGAAACGGGACCAGCTGGGGCCCTTTTCCATAAGCTGTGCCCCCAGCTCAGCGGCCCCGATGCAGCAGAGCTGCTGCTCTCCAACGCTGCTAAATCGGGGCAGGGACGGCGGAATGCCTTAGAATTGCAAACAATTCTGCTCTGAGGAGTAGAAAAAACACTGAAAAAGCAAGCCTGCCATCTCTGTGGTGTGAGGCATCCCCTCCAGAGTCCCCCAGGGCACCAAGGCTGAGCTGGAAAGCTGCTCCCCTGCCTCAGCACCGACGACGGACAAACCACCCTCCGCGCCCTCCCCTGCCCGGAGGGATGGGGGCAGCTCCCGGGGGAACTTCTGGGTTCCCCCTGAGCGACACACGTGCATCTGCTGGTTATTCTGAAAGGGAAGTGGTACCGGACACTTCTGAGAATGAAGTGCACCGAACCATAAACTTTTAAAAGATTTGGGAGACGGATGCCAAAAATCGAAAGCGTTCTTCCGGAGAGTGGTTCTGTCACCGCAGCCACGCCGCTCCTGTAAGCGACTGATGCAGAGGTGAGCTCTGAGCACTCAACATGGAAAAGGAAAAAATGCAGAGGGTGCTGCCTGCCTTCTCCATAAACAGGAAAATTCTGTGGTAACAGGTTTTTCTTCTCATTTTCTGCAGTTAACTGAATTTGTCTGCTTGCAACGTGATCCACTGACCGAGCTCGGCCAGACTGCAAACACCCTGTGTATCGAGCAAATCCAGGTACAAAATGGGACACAGCGGTTCAAACACTTTACACATGGAGTGGAATCGATAGAATAAACTTTCTCAGAATAATTAATCGCTATACATGATTTCCTGATCTTCCCCTGGACAATCAGAGCTCACTCATTACTCTCTGAATCTAGGCCACGAGAAAGAGGAGGAAGAAGAGGGAAACATTAAGCTTCTGTGGCCTGGATTCATTAAGAAATGCCAAATCCTTTAGAACATGTGAAGGAATGAAATTAAACAAAACTTAAACATTCAAATTACTTGTCCAACAAGAATTTTTCCCAAGAGTACAGTAAGAGGAGACACCCCCATGCAGTTCAGCACCACGCTGACGTGGCTATGGAGCAATGAAATGCTAGGGAGGTAGAAAGCAGAATAATTCCTGGCAGACCACAGCCCCAAACATGCCACCCTAAAGGGTTTCATGGATTTCCTCAGATATCCATGTGTTGGTATCCCCATTCATCTGCAGCCGAAAATTCTCCCAGTGCTGTCCAATACCGCATTCCTAAGCGTGTGCAGGAAACCAGCCCCGGTTTTTTGGAGTTGACATCACATGGACTTATTTCAAGGACTCGTGACAAGAATTATATATACCCAAAGAGACAAACACATTCTTTGAAAGCAAAGAACAGCATGAGCAACACTGGGAAGCTGTCTGTGTCCAGACACACGCACACCTAAGGTGAAGGTGTGACCCCAGTGCCGTTAACAACAGAGAAGCACACACTAACGTCAGGACGTGGTTAAACCCAGGGACGGCTGCACGGGAGGTGTAAACGCAGTTCACAGTGTACGGAAAGGAACCCACAGCGGCAGAAACCTGGCCACGAGCTGCGTGTGTGTGTGTGTGTGTGCTGTTAACCTACCACGGCTTTGGCTGCAACCCAGCATGCGATGCCCACGCCTCTATCAGCTGGCTGAGCAGCGCCAGCGCCTGTGCTCCGGCCAGCCAGCACCCCCTGGCCATGCTCCTGCCACTACATTATCCTATTCTTCTCAGCAGGCTTGGATCCCGACTCTGAAACCCGACTCTGAAACCAGGCACTGAAACCCTCCGAATTTCTGGCCGGTGCCGACGCCGGAGCCCTGGCCAGGGACTGCCTGGGAGGTGCCAGCTGGCCAGGGCCAAACCGCGCCGAGGCCAACCCGGCAATTAACGGCGTGGGTATCACACTGCGGCGCCTGGAGCTGCGCTCTGCTGCCCTTTAATTACCCACAGAGAGGATGCTGGTTCGTACAACCGCTACTGGTGCTAACGCAGAAGAGCCTCACCGATGGTCACCACTGGGAGCACCGCAGCATCCCCTGCCGTGCCATACGGTCCCGGCCGTGCGACCGCCTGCCAGCGGCTGCTGCTGGGACCCCGGTGTGGCCTTACTGGGAGTGCAGGACGGTCCCAGCATCTCCTCTCTGATACTCTGAAAATACCCCAGCAATGTCCCTCTCTGCTTTGCCATGTGTGCTTTTCCCATCCAGCATTTGTTTCTATATGATGGTGTATGTATGTAACATTGTCAATAGCTGTAAAATTAACTGTAAAACATAAGAAAAATTATTTTCTTGCTAGAAGCATTACTCAACAGAAGTTTAAAACTAGTTTAGGGATGGTAGGCATGTACTCAAAACTTATCAGCTACTACAGCATAGCCAGTTAATGTTCGTACATTAAAATCCCTCCCTCTTGGAGCCTATCTAAATGAATATGAAACATTTCTACATTAGTTCTTTCTAAGATCAAACAGTCACAAAACAAAACACATTCTCTATTTCTGCACACAGGTTAAGTCGTTGAGAAAACAGAATGATCGCATCAGTCTGTAACACAAGAGCAGAAAGCAGTCATGACAGCCACGTGAGCCCCTGAATCCAAAAAGCAAGATTATCCAGCAGAAGAACTGCACCGACCAGAAAACGATCATCTTTGCTTTTTGGATTGTGCAGAGTATAAGCATGAATAATAGGCAAAAGCTAAACCAGGAAAAAGCAAAGAGTACTATGAATTGATCGTGTAATGCCGGTATAGGCTGGCCATCCCATACTTACTTTCGGTAGAGGTAGCTCTTGAAGCATTTGGTTTTCAAATTTAGATTTAGGCTGCAAGTTTAAAGTCATGCTTCTGCCGGCATGCATTGCTGAAAACCCTCCAGAGTGCAGCATGCCAAGGCTAACTGTGTTGTGTTTGTAAGCAGCGGTCTGAGTAGAGGAAACAACCACGGGACAGGATATGAACACACATGCTCATCGAATTCAGTATCACACATAGATATATACATGGTTAACTTCACAACGTTTTAGTTTAAGCAAACAAACAGTACCAGGAAATAAAGAGCTTCTCGGTGCATGCACTGGGTCACACGGAAGCAAGTACATCGCTAGTTGTACATCAAACGGAGACCATAGAGGACTTCCACGCTGACAGCGGATGAGGTACGTTATCTGTCGTTTGGGAATTGCAGCAGGGAACACGGGACAAGTCTTTATTTTGTAAAGACGGCCAAATTGTGGTACGCCTGCACAGCCACAGATGGGCCAGAAAAAACCCAGATCTAGCACAAAGGAGCAGCACAGGCAGAGGGAGATGCCCCACCAAGAAGGCTCTGCCCCATCCTGGAGCTTTGCCGCTGCTCCCGGCTCACTGCTGCCCAGGAGGGACGAGCTGCGGCTGGGCCAGCCCGGGGGGCACTGGTCCTCCCATCAGCCGGGCAAAATCTCCACCAGACAGCCCAGCTTCTTACAGCTTTGCTTCTCATACGGTGCAAACAGCTAGGACCTGGCTGGCTGGCACCTGCAGGGATGGCTGTGAGCACTCGAGAAACTCAATTTTTAACTCGAGAAAATCACCCGTGTCAGCTTCCTATCAGATAAGCTACTTCTTGAGCCAATACACATTGTCAACTAAATGCCAAGATATTTCTTAAACAAACAACATCTGGGAAGTGTTTATTTCCACCAGAAAGGTCTCTACTTGGGGTGCACTATTCCACCGAGGTATTGGGCATTTTCTAATCAGTTTTACACAGCAGAAGGAAAAAAGCTGAAGTAAGGAAAAAGCTTCAGCCCTCAAGCCAATTTTTCAAGTTTACCCACTGGATCCTTCATGATATTTTAATATGCATCGCATCCGAGCAACTGGGAGGTGGTGAGTATATTAACACCAAACTCACGAGGATGTAGCAGAAAGGAAGTATACGGACACATTTTGAAACTAACTCAACGCACTTGACAACAGTAACTTTTCACAACCACTTCAGATTATGAAGTAAATCCGACTCATGAAGTAGGTCGTTAAATAGTCGAGATCATTATTGAACCCATGCACTACATTACTTGTTCTGGTTTGTATAGAAGGTCAATAAGCATGACTTCCTACCGCTAGAAGGAGCAATAATCATATTCCTTGTTAAAAACAGTGGCAGTGCACATCCAGGGATATTATTCTGAGTTAAGAGATACCTTCAAATCCCCTCCACTAACAGTGATACAAAAGCTAAAATACATTCTTTTACTTTTTATCTGTGACGTTTCTCTTTATTGCCTTTCACTGCAAAGATGGACCCAGCATCTCTGAAAGCTCCCAAAGCATCACTGAAGCGTTGGACTTCAGCAGCACGGTCCCATCTGTCGGTAAGGAGAGATTTGGGTGGGTTTTATTATTTCAGCCCGTGCTGCTGCCGTTACTACATCAGTAACGTGCACCGTGGTGCTCGTGCAGAGACTCTTTATCACCCATCGACCCGGGAACCCCTCACTCCAGCCCCCAGACCCCTCTGTGGGCCGGTTCCTCTGGCACCAAGGCAGGAATCTCATTCCTGGGCATTCTGGCGGTTACCACCGTACGTGCAAATAGTTGGAAATAGCGAAACACACAACTAAAGGCATTAATTGCAGAGAAATGCCAAACATACCCTGTCTAACCTTCTAGCTTCTATATGTCTAAGTAGCTGTTGTCTCCAGTCAGCGGGCATTTTAGCACAGCTCTCACTTCCCTTCACAGGGGTGGGCCTTGTCTTTATATCACTGTTATCGGAAGGCTTGTCGCCATAGTTACCCAAGTTATAGTCTGACGGTATCTTTTCCAGCAGCGCTGCCATTGTTGGCCTGGCTGAGACCGGCCGCGTTTGGGATGTGCCGTAACTCTCTGTACTGTAGCTTCTTGCAGACAACGGCCTCCTTTGCGTAAGGTTTTTAACTGGAAAGCTTCCAGTCTGAGCTTTCACTTCTTGGTAGGAAGGATGCTCGTCCTCGTCCCTGCCGTTTCTCTTGAGGAACTGAGACTCGGAGACCGAGATGCTGCTTTGGCGCTCCACCGCTCCTCGGTAGGGAGGCCGGCCGTACCTATCGCTCAGGGGCAGCTCGTGGGGCTCGCTGACTCTCCTAAACATGGACATCTCGGTGGAGCTGACCAACGAGTCCGCCCTCCTCAAGAACCCCGGCCGAGCCCCCTGGCTGGCAAAGGGGGTACCGATGACCTCGTCATTCACCGAGGGCTGGGAGAAGGAGAACATCTGCTCCACGGGGGGATAGCCACGGTAAGCCCTAGGGCTGACCAGATCCTGGGGCAGGTTTTTACTCTGCTGGGGAATGTACTCGGGGTTGAGCTGGAAAGGCGGCGGTAGCCTCTTCTCCGCTGTGACCTCCACGGCTCCCTGCGGGTTGAAGCTGTGGGCGAACTGGTAGACTTTCTTGGTGACGGACGACTTCTGCTGCGGCTGCACCTTGACGCTGCCGTAGGTCAGCAGCTCGTCGTCCAGCATGGGGACGGACTGGCTGCGGGACATGCTCAGCATGCCGTGCTCCGGGCCCAGGAGCTTGTCCACCCTCTCGTGGGTTCCTACAGTATCGTTACCAGATGCATAGTTTTCTAAGGGTATATTGTACACTTTGTATGTACCGATGTCTATCTCATCGATACTTTGCGACTTCTTAAATTTGTTCGTTTTTATATCCCTCATCATCGGAGAAAGCCGTTCCGTACTCTTGCTGATCGAAATGACCGTTTTGGGAGGATCCGGGCGACAGTGGATATGGGAAAAGACGTTTGTGAGACTTCTGTTCGCATTTGAATCGTGATATTCCCATGCGATTCCTGGAGGGAAAGTGCTCGTAATTTCCGGAGACTCTTTGTCGTGATCCTTCCGCTCAGGCAAAGGGCTGGTGGTGGGGGTGCTTTCCAGTTTGGAAGGAAAAGCTGTCCTGTCTTCAAAAGGACTAGGGGTTCTGGTCCAATTTTGCCAAGGATTGGGAGGAGGCACTTCAGATTCGTGGGTGTTTCTGAGCGTGGGCTGCTCCAGCTCCAGGGGAATGCCAACTATCCTGTCCTGCCTAATCAACGGCCTGCGCCCGTGCGCAGATGTGCTTCTAGATTTCGTGGTCAGGAGGGGGTTAGCACTAGGATTCTCCACTGTGCTCTCCTCCGCGACGAACCCTGTGTTGTCGTAGTGCGAGCTGTCGTTCCAGCTGTCGGCGAAGGTGTCGCTCAGCGGGCGCCGGTCGGTGTGCTGCGGCAGGCTCCCCGCCGGAGCCGATTCCCGCTGGCTCAGCAATGGCTTTGTTTCGAGGGGCTGCGGAAATGACTGTGCCAGCCTGCAAAAACAAAAAACGGAACAAGATAAAATGCCCTCTAACAGAGCACAGAAGCAGTCATCAGAATGACTCAATTACAGAGCAATTTAATATCCTCCCAGCTACACTCCGGCTTTGGGATCGTACTATGAGATGTGCCCCTTGTGCCACGGGCTTGGCATGGATGGCTGCAGCAGGTTTTTGCACTGGAGTACAGATTCTGTACGTAGACACACAGAGAAACTAAGAAATTCATCAGAAGTCCTGGAAGGCTCAATGCCATGTCCATACAAATCCAACAGAACATATTTTCCTGCTTTAAAAATAACCTTCCATGAGTGCAAGGGAAGATTTTTTTTGCACTTATTTTTTTTAAAAACAAAAATACCAGATTCAGTTTGAGCATGTTCTCACAACCAAGATTTTATGTATCCCAGCCTCTCTTTAATGGGGAGGAGCCTGTGGATGGAACTACAATTTGGATGGAACTAGATTAGGTGATTTCTGGCAGGAATAGCCAGCGCAGGGTGTTCCTGGGGTGGTACGACAGCATTTCCCACTGCTGATGGCCAGTGCAAATGACAACTTTCCAAGAACTGTGTTGTTCTAGGAGGTCCAGGGCAGAGTGGAGCTCAGGACAGCAATAACGTGAGACACACACACTCTGCTCTCTGCTCAACTCCAGCCAGCTGCAGCTCAGGACCACACAGAGCAGAATAATTGCAGCGCAATGACCCGGTGCTTTTAACGCGTGGTTATAGCACACAGCTGAAAAACCAGCTGTGGCATTACTGGCATTTACGGAGTACGAATGGGTGGCCAACTCTGCACAGCCTGGGCTGTGAAGAGCTACGGACACTTCTGCCAAACTGGGGTAAAAACATTGTATTTTTTACATTGAAAGCCTTAACAGCTAGCAGATGATCACTTTGAATGCATAGGACAACAACGTAAGATGAAAGGCAACCAGAAGCTGTGTGAAGAGAGATGATCCCACCTGTTCCCCCACAGAGAGTTATTGACTGCCTCTTTAGCCGTTGTCTGCAAGGACCCCATTTTAACGTGCGCGTTGGAGGACCCTGAGGAAGCCTGGGAAGGGGAATAGTCTGAGTAAGTGCCTGAGGAAACGCTGTTATTCAGACAATGGATCTTATCTGCTTCAGACTCATCTGTCGATTCTGAAACAAAACACAGCAAACGTTCTCAGGAGGTGCTGCTTGAAAACTAAACTCCAGAAAAACAGATTTTTACATTGATACTATGGATATATATAAATATATACATGTGCACAAATGTGCATGTCATTTGCTTTAAAACCAGAGCGAAGCGTAGAACATCTTAAGGAAGGAGTCTATCCGTGTACATTACACATGCTTTCATCCAAAAGGTTGCAAGTCAAGGTAGTACCTTTCTTCTCTTTACCCAGAAGAACAAGTTTGGGTGGATACAACGGAGTCTCTGGCATGGAAGGACGAAGTTCCCCTATCCTCATCTCACTGGCAGGATGTCCAAAGGCATCCTGAGGAACACAACAATGTAGAGTAAACATAGGAAAGAGCATCCACTTCGAACTGCAATGAACAAACATTTCACAGCCTTGTTTTCATGAATGTGACAACACACCAAAACCCACCATACGGGCAGTGTCTAATCATGCTGGTTTGTCAGCTGAAAATTCTAATTAGTCCTACATAAACACTTGTACAAATTATGGTGCCATGTTCATTCTGAAAGTGTGGACAAAACAGATGGAACTTGCAAGAAACATCAAGGCCGTGTAAACATTTCTGACAGAGTAAAGGTCACAAAAACGCAAGCCGCCATAGAAACGAACAAAAATTTAGAATAAACATTTACTTCTTATTTCAGGAGTAAGTATTCCTCATCCATTTACTTGTGGCACAAGTCCCTCCCTGGATTCAACTGTCCCTATAGCTATATTGAATTAAAATGACTTTCTCTCTAAAGACTTTATTTTTTTTTGCTCAATTAAAATGATTTGGATTTCGTAAACCCCTCACTGAGAGTTCAGCACATCTTGACCTTCAAAGCCTGCCCTGCACAACTGTTTTGCTGTTCTAGCTGGTGAAAGGCTCTATACTGAAAAGAAAATGAGTTAAAAAGCGGAAAGAAAGTGAGATGTAGTCTTAGAAAGAGATATTTTATGTTAGAACATTTAAACTAGGCTCAGAGGATAGCTAGAAGGGAATGAAGACACAAACAGTGAATCCGTGGTGTTTCGTATCCCTGGAAGAAAGGTCAGAAATGAGAAAGACGCCAGGCGACAGGGTAGGAAATGACTCTTGCTGGAGGAATGGCAGTGGTAAACCCTGCCCTCAGGAGAGGACCTAAGGACAGGGGGCTGGAAGAACGAGCAATATGGGAAACCCACTTGGTGGGTGCTGGTGCTTGGGCTCAGGGAATGGAACGGCAAGGGAACCGACGGAGGTGGGCACAGCAGCGCTGGAAAGTCATGGCCATGCCAGTCGAGGTCCTGGGGGGAAAGGTCGGAGAAACACGTCCTGTCTCGGCAGCAGGAGGATGAGCTGTGGTTTCATACAGAGGGTGGAAGTTGGAGAAGCAGAGAACCAAGTGAAAAAGAGGATGTTTTGGAGAGATATTAGGAGAAAAATCAACAATTAGTAATATAAACAAGGAAGGAAATTGTTAGGACAAATCTATTTAAGAGGGAATTTGGGTTAATGGGGACACTATGAGGATCTCTATACCCTCACAATTCGCTGTGAAGGTACTCCAGTGATTACAGGTCATACAGCTTTGCAGAGTGAAGTCAATAAAGGAAAGAGATGTAAGATTTAGAGAAACAATTTTACACGGAGTACCGAATCCCAAAACACATTATGAAACCATAAAATGCTACAATATTTTCAAAATTTACTTGCTTTTACTCATAAGGAGAAAACTATCAGAAGTTTACTCTCCATTAACTACATTTTATAGTTACAGTGGAAACAGAGATCTGTAGAAGTGTTGGCCATGGGATTTATCCTTGAAGAACATAATTATATCTACACAACAGATATTTAAATCCTGCGTTTGGTGTACTACTGGAGGTACCAAAGCAGCAATGAACAGGTATCATCACGGCCCGTTTAATTAACCCCCTCAGTGCTAACATTTCAGCAAACACAGCTGCATGCCTGTTCTTACAGCGTGTCATGTATTCAAGATTTTAACCTGCTTTCACATGCACAGATCCCTTGTGCACAGGATTTCTGCCATACCAGCAGTGACGTGCATACAACTCAAAGCCAACAACAGTGCAATGGCGTGTTTCCAGTGCAGCACAGTCATCTTCTAGTGCAGTGTAACAAACTTATGCAAAACCATTTTTTTGAGAAATAAAGAGTGCGTAGCATTCACAGAGTGGGAAATTCTCCACCTTTGAAGCACGGTGCGTGTTAAGTTTCTGGTTGTACCTCTGAGCTTTTTGTGTGCTCTTCCTTTTCCTTCCTCTCTGGGGTTTCCAGAGTTGATTTATGAGTGTTGTCTGTATCAGACAGGTGACTCTTTTGGGACTCTTTATTTTCACTATCTTGAACCTAGAATCCCAATATTGTGCCATGAAACTTCCAAAAGTTATAAGCTTAAAATAAAACTGCTTGCTGCAAGATAGGAAGAACCAGCAGTTCCATTTTTCACATCATGATGAACACAGGTTTTTATTTCAGGTGCATGATTTTATGGAGTTTTCCATGTTATACTATTTTTTTTTTCTTTTTACCCCTAGTCCAGCTATTCCAACAAGAATCACTGCCCTTTTGAAAGAACTAGTCTGGCATTTGTGAACATACCATGAAAGTGAAATACATTGTAAAAACCAAAATCATATTCCGTTTAATTTTACTCTGTTTAAGAGGACCTTTTTCTCTTACAAGCCCGAGAACAAAAAGGTCACTAATAGAAAAAAAAAGTATTATTAATAGGACCAATTGCAAGAACAAAGGGAAAAGGTAAATGTAATTCTGTTGTGTCAAAACTTATTCCTCAGGACTAAGCAGAGAAAGCCATAGGTATAGGATAGAAAAATATGATGAGCTGTTTCCCAAGAGAAAATACATGGTAAAAACCATTAAAATAACTGGGAAAGAGAAATTTCACCAATTATTCATGCTGACAACACAAGGACATTAAATTATAATCAGAGAGACGGATTTTCTTTTAAAATAACCTAATTCTTAGAGTGTGTTTGAGAAGACTTATAAAGCCTGAATAGAGCAGAGCGGGGCTCTGGGCAGAAGCAGCACGCACAAGGCAGAGGAATGCGGGACCATTAACGATGGATCTGTTCCAGATGAACAATTAAATATGAGCAGAGGGTTGGCAGCACTTCTAGACGCGAGAAGGCTAGGTCAGTCTGAAGGATGACAAGCTGGCTATAAAGAAATGGAGAAGCAAAGAAATAAAGGGATCATGGCAAATGTTACTTGGTCCAGATTTTCCTAAAAACTTAATGAAAGAATAAAGGAGAACACATAAAGCGTAGGAACAAATGCAGCCAGAGAGCTACCAGAATATCCCCTGAGACGAGCAGGACTAACTGAGCCACTGGCATCTTTCCTGAGAATCAGTTAGTGGTACGGTTTTGTAACAAAGCCTTGCCGAGCCACTTACCCATGTTCTTTGCACAGAAAATGGCAGAACTTCCACCTCTCAGCCCTGAACGTCAATACTTTCCAATCACTAAGTCAGGCTGATGTGCCCTGTGTATATGAGTTTGTACAAAGAATCGTGATGGTATAGAGTGACAGACATGTCCTACTGCACCGCCTGAGTCCTCTCGCAGGGGGACAGGCAGAGCAGCAGCCTCAGGGGGTCCAGTGATGTATTGGACCGGCTCTATGGGAGGTAGGCTTGGACCGGTTCTATGGGAGGTAGGCTTGGACCAGTTCTATGGGAGGTAGGCTTGGACCGGCTCTACGGGAGGTAGGCTTGGACCGGTTCTATGGGAGGTAGGCTTGGACTGGTTTTATGGGAGGTAGGCTTTATATTGGAGGCAGCTCTGAATCATGCCCTTCCAGTCCAGACACTTGGATAAGGTTGGGCAGAAGTCAAAGTAACTCAAAATGAACTTTTAAGACATTTGACATCCTATCTGAAGAAAGGTCTCTTGTGAGTCAGATCTCCACCATTACCTCCTTTCTCCTTTGACAAGAAGGCACCAAGGTCATAACCTTGGTGAAGATCTTTTGTGCCATGGAAAATCCAAAAACTCTATGATGAAGATATTTCTGACTCCTGGTAAAATGTAGGTAATTCTGCTACAAAGAGCTTATCAAGGTATGTGCTTAAAGCAGACACAAAGCAAAAATCTTTAGGACACGTTCCTCTCCGGATCAGGAGAGATTGTCATTGAGCATTTCATCATGGAAAACAGCTCCCACAACAGACACATCGACTGAACCGACTGAAGCCAGGCATCCTGGGGGACACAGAAGTGTGCAAGTCTTCCTGGAAAGGCAAGATCAGCTTTGAAGACAGTTTCTGAAACTGTCACTAAAAACAAAACAAGAGGAACACTCTTCTCCACCCTCACCCGCCCAAAAAACCCCATAACCCAAACCCACATAGTAACCAAGTCAGAAGCCAAAAGGATTGAGGTCTTCATTCGATGGAGATGAGATGAAGGTCTCAGAAGATGCAGTACACCTTTTTACATAGCGTTAATGAATCCACCAGGAATTAACACAAAGGATGGAATGCTGCAGGATGGACTAGAAGAGACTTTTTTTTAATCCAAAGATGAGAGTTAAACAGAAGTATTTCCAGTTTATCTGTCAAATACATATCAAGAATATTAACTATAAACATCTTAATTGCTGACTTGTTGTATTTCTCATTGTGCCTCACGGAAAGGCTACACAACACACTAAGTAATCCCAGACTTCTTTTTGTCCAAAATTCACATATTTCAAAGTAGACTTAGGATGATGAAGAGGTCTATTTTAATTGATGATTAATTAAGAAATTGTTTGCTTATTATAACTGAAGGTGTAGGATGATACAGGGGATTTGAACTGTAGCTTGTTACTCATTTCAGATGCTCCCTTTAATTATTTAGACAGAGATGTGCAAATTACTTGCAAGAAAACCCAAAAGAGATCAGAAAAGAAACCAGCTTATCTGGCCTCTGAGGATGCAAAAGTGGGCACTGCACCTGAAATTAAATTACCCTGTTATTAGAAACCTCCTTCAGTCTAAATCTGCATCGGAACACACCTGCTTGTTAAACTGTGTTTGAACTTGAGGCTTGAGATCATGTCTCCTAATTATCTGAAAAGTAAATGGAGCTTAATTATGCTTTATTTAATGGGTTACAACTGAAATCATGCTAATATTATTCACAAAATCCCCCAGACTTTTTCTACAGTTCGCCATACCTCTTCTTTTTCATCATGCAGGAAGCCAAAGAGAGGAACATGTATACATCATCCTGCTTTACACCCATCAAATCTTCCCTGTGCTATTATTTCCAGGAACAAGAACACTTCCTTTCTTTTCTTCAGTTGATGAGATGGTCGTGTTACTTGTCTTGACTAAGCACCAGGAAAATTAAAATCTGAAAAACTTCCACCACTTTCACTAATATAATAAAAAAAAGCTGAAAAATACATCTTCACGGATATGATGGAAATAGTCAAGCGCTCACACCAGTTGTTTGTGGTAGAAAATTAACTAGGAAATTGCAATCACGTTATTTAATTGCACTCCAGGAATTACCGCAGGGTCTTCAGCAATTCAGCTCTTTTTATAGACTGCTTCTGGTGATACTCAGGCAACTGACACTTCAGGTACATTCACAGAAAAAATAGGTATCATTCTTTTTCTGTTGCAAAAGTGAATGCATTTTTATGAAAGAATGAAACATAAGAATTAAATTTGTTTTCGTCTTTTTTCCTATTAGAACACGGTATGTGGTCACACAGGCATTTCAGCATCACTGTCGTGTTTTAGGGTGTTGCTCCATTTACTCCTTCCCTGCACCTCCAGAACGGGACCCTGAATATGCACAGGACTCTGCTGGGGCTCAGTCAACATTTTAGTTGAACAATTAACATTTAGTTTAACAGCGACTAAACCAGCGCAGCCACCTATTTCTGAAGCCGGTGTCACCAGCCACAGCCACAAGACCTCATCTCTTTGTCAGACACCATTGATCCAAACCCTGGGCAGACAATGTGTGTGTGTGTGGTCACAGCAGGGATCATCAGAATCAGCAGAAACCTGTTAAGATTGTCCAAGGTCTAAAACTAGATGATACGAAATAAATTGTATATAATCAGCAACAACAGCAGAACATGAAAATACGCCACAAGACACAAGTTGGCCAAAAGGCCAGATTCACACGGTAAGAAAGGATTTAATGAGTAAAAAAGGAATCATGGAGGAATTTAAGATTTCAGATTGAGATAAAACATGAATGATTTAACTTACATATTTTAGTTTGAAGTACTAATCAAAATTCTGCCTAGGTTTTAAGAAAGTCTTCTGAAGCCGTCTTAAGACAAAACTTTTTAAGAAATGAAAATGTTGAACAGCAAATAACACACAGAGCACTGGCAGAGCAGCCTCAGCGCCTGCTGAATGCGCAAGAACAGCCGGTCTGTGCTGAGGAGACGGAAAATGGGAGAACAGCTCACACATACACAACCAGACACAGGGACATTGCAAGGACAATGAATTTATCATAATAGTTAAATAACAAAGGGGTGAAAATTTTATATTTTTTTTTCTCATTTATTTCTTTTGAACATTAAGGCTTCATAAAGATTTTCAAGAATGCTGGTCTTCCTGCAGACCTGTCCAAGCTGATAAACTACCCACACACACCGCCAGGGTAAGAGATGTCCCCTGTTTACACATTGTGCCTGCACAGAGCAAGTCATTAGTGTGAACGTTAATGAGTAGGGGCTCTCTGAGATCAAGGTTCAGCTATTTGTGCCCGCTGAGCACAAGGCTGCAGTATTCAGGAATCTACCTTCCAGGGACTATTCCTGGCTTCGTCACTACGCACGCTGATCCACTTCTGGCAAACGTATTACGGGCTAGATTCTGCAACTCATCCTAAGTCGCTATCCAGAGGCCTGGTGCCTGATCTGAAGTTCCTTGCAGTTGAAGGCGCACTCTTGTTGACGTCATTAACTTTTGACAAGGTTAATCAGCCATCTACCACATCAATGTGAACAGAAGCAGCAGAACCCAATGGCATAGTAGGGTCAGACGGAACAAATTGGTTTGTCATTAACATATTTGACGCAGAAATACACTTACTTTAGCCTGAGATGTAAATCGTGATCAGGTCCATTCTCCTGCTAATGTGCAAGTCTCTCATGTAATTAAAATTTAGGAGAGTGCTTGTATATATCAATACCAAAATTCAGATCTAGGTAGATTCAAAACCAAAAATTCAGTCTGATAAACCCAGTAGTACTGGGAAAAACAGCAACTCAGTATAAAACTAAATTAACTTTACAGAATGAACCTAGGAACTATGAGGTATGAAGTCCACGGCAGATGCACAATATGGTTCGATGGAGCTATGTTAAAACCCCATCTTGAACTCTTGAGAGGAACAATGATCCTGTTACGTTACCTCCACTGAAATCTCCTTTGGTGCCATGGGCCACTTGTGCTCGTACTTTTCTTTCACGGTCTGTTCGCTGTTGGCAGTTGGTGTTGAGTTCTCAGGCCGTACTCCATGGCTTGTTTTGCTCACCAGATTTTGAACTGATTTTACCATATTCTTTAAATCCTCCGGGTATGGAGTGGGATAACGTTTTAGATTTATTTCAACCTGAACATTCATAAAAAGGATTAAAGCACAAATACAAGATGAAAAGAGCATGCAAACTAAAACCATGGTCACAGTACTATGGCTAAGTGCAAATTGCTCCAATTTTTCATTATTCTGTTTGAGGTAATGTGTTACATATAGGGATCTTCATGGATTTTTAAGTTCTTGGACTGAAATTTGCTCTCAGCTACACTATGTCAACCTATAATGGAATTTCAGTGACATAAATAACAGATGGGAACGGTTCCCCATAAGCCTATCCTCTACCCGGCGAGAGCATTGTATTTTAATTCTACGCTTTGCTTGAGAGTACTGACACATTAAATCACACTTTTTCTAAACAATACTGGTGTTAACGCAGAATTAATTTAGCTCTGTTCAGTGTACTGAATTAATCAGAATTATCTATGGCAGCTGAGAACAGAACCTGATCTACCGGGAGCCATTTGCTCTTTGAGATGTACAATGTACGTACATGCACTCCAGTGTACCTTACTCTTTTTTTTATACAGAAAATACAGGAAAACAGAGTCAAACCACTACAGAAAAGTCAACTGAAGTCACACTGAGTAGCAGTCTAACCGACTGGCAGACCTACAGATTTTCTAGAAAACCACATTTTAAAGTTTATAATTTTTATCACCCAGAAGTAGAGAAACATTGTAATTTCCAAGTCCAAAGCAATCCTAATTTGGAGACAGTCCTACAAAATCTCAGGGCTGAGTGAAAGGGGAAAAAATGGTTGAGAAGGGTCATGGATGACATCACCCCCCATAACCCATCAAGAGATTATGCCAACAGCAAATCTCTCTGAGGAGACGGCGCAGCGGCCGACCACGTCAGGAATGACCCCAGCACAAAGGACGACACACACAACGCTGGATGTCCCTCGAGCCCAGCCTGCAGACACCTCCCTCTGCTCCCCAGAGCATCTCCTGCCCTCCCCGCTCCGTCCTTCACACCATGAACCCGTGGGAGCTCCACCGCCTTCTTCCCAGCTGTGGACGACGGTTGTGGGTGAAGCCCCAAAGCTGGGATTGACAAGGAGAACCGGGGAGCGTGCCCTGCGGAGCCCACTGCTCAGCACACCTCACCGCCGAAATGCAGCGGGTGCTGGCTGAGCCCATCACTCTTTGTGCCTGAATTTGGGGGGGGAAGGCAATAAAATCCATCAGTGGAGTAAAATCACAGCTCCCAGTGCAAGCTGTGCGGGTCAGGATGGCTGCTCCTGATTGTGAGGCTGGGAAATTTGAAATTACTCCACATTGCCTATGTGATAATGATTTTGAAGCATCTGCCACCAAGAAGCTTTTAGCTCATTGTGTACGTGAGGTAAGCAAAGGCAACTCACTCTTAATAGCTCACTATTACAGCCGTTGGAATTTAAATCCCTAGTGAGTAGGAAAAATGTAATTTTGGATTCCAATTAATATGTTTTGTCAATGGGAATATTTTAGAAGCAGAAGCAAGACTGATTTGGAAAATAAAGCTATATGAAATACTAGCATACAATTCTGAACTGCAATAGAATAAACACTGCGGATAACAGATTCTGAGACGATAAGATGTTAACATCTGTGACTATGATGTCATAGGTTAACAAAGAATTTCAGCAGAAAAAATAAATAAGGTCTGTAAAGCATTACTAAAGCTCTGGTGGATTTACGGCTGAAAGAAATCATATTTAGATGTGGCCTAACTAGGCAACTGCTTTTTCACCAAAATCAGCCCGTGATTTAAGTGTGAGGCCTACAGACAAACACAGCCAGAAGTCAATCACAGCACAGACCCTCAGTACGGACTAGGTGAGGAAAAATTAACTGAAAGACTTCCATGAGAGAGAGAAGTCATAGACAGGGATCTCAGCAAGAGTTTCACGTCACTGTGAGTACTAACACTAAACAGTAAAAATAATGTGGTGGGTGATACCCACTAGAATGCAGACATTGTCATCGCTGATTTAGACTGTACTCCCTGTCGATACAGTTCTTGGGTGTTTCACGCTACATCAAAAGTAGCACGACCGAAGAGAGAATTTTCAAAGTTCAAAATTCTTGATGGAAGAAGCTATTGAACAACTTCAATGACCAAATCTATTTTAACATCTAGTTGGCTGAGAGCTCAGCTTTAACTAGGAAAGATAAAAAGATAAAAAAAGAAAAAAAAATAAAAAAATATTTAAAAATATTAAAAAAATATAAAAAAAAGATAAAAGAAAGATAAAAAGCTTTTATAGAATGCAACCAGTGTTTGTGTTTACTGCCTATTGATAATTTAACTTAACCTCCAAATTCATCCCATACAGGTCTGGTGAAACTGCTAAAATAGTACATGTTAAGACCTCCCTAAGACCTGCTGCAACCCATGGAGGGAACGACACACGGTAAGTTCCCCAATGGTTCCAGCAATCAGCTTTTAGTTCATGTGCATGCACCTAAGCCCAGTGGGGCAAACAGCTCAGTCCAATAACCCTTTAACAAACCGCTTTTATGGTCATTCACGTACAGAGATGAATTGGCACTGCTAGGAAAGAGCATAGACCTACCAGAAGGATGCAAAAGGCATTTCTAGCTTATTAGTAGTAATTGGACTTGAGCTAATTTTTTTTCATGGCTTGGGCCAAAAGGCTGTTTTCCATGAGAGGGGAAAGCAGCGCATCCCTTGCATCCTGAGCAGCTCCGGTACGGAGCACCGGCGCCTGGGATCGCACCGTGCAGACATCTGCTCCCAGTGTGGGCACAAGCCAGCGATTTCTGCAAAGTGCTGTTTCTAGGAAACCCGAAAATGCGGTACTGTGCCCTGGCCGTGTCTGCCTCCCCGCCTTCCCCACGGCAGGTGGCAGCATCCGAGCTGCAGCACAGGAACAGCATTCAGCGGGTGGAGGAATTTTTTCTCTGCAAGAGCCGTTTACTCAAAGGGAACACTTGCTTCAGTCATTCATAGTGTTCTGAAATATATTGAAACCAAACCGGCCATCTAACTTATAGAATTCATATACCACATCTCAACAAACAGTGCTTGCAAATAACGTACAGTGCAATTCAGTTCTTCTATGATCTTGGATATTGATATCTGTTTCTCTTTTACTATTTCAGTTGTTTCGCACAGTTGGCCAGACACATTATCCACAGTTAAAATTCTGATAAGAAGTGGTGGAACAATTTAAAACTTTCCCAGATGCTCTGTTTTCCTTTTATGACCCATAAACCTGCAATTCATCTGGCATAAAACTTCAGCTTAACCTATTCACTGTGAGGCAAAGGATGCTTTTTGACTTCATTTGTTGTTTTACTAAAGCAGCAGAGTCCATTATAACTCTGGTTACAAGAGTTAGACAAAAATTCCTAGTGGGGAAAAACATTAAAAAGAAAAATCCAAAATTTCTAAGATTTCTAAGAAGATCTAAATGGAATGTTAAATAGCTATTAATTGCTAATGGCTAATTCTAAACATAAAATATTATTTAAATCTCCTCATATGATTTTTTGTCTCCAGCAATATATTTTATGTTGGGTATCCTACCACAGTTAAAAATTTGCAGTGTTTAAGTGTTTGATCTGGGGTAATTCCTTCATATTATTCAAGAAATAGAAACTCTGATGCCACGTAAAAGCAGATGGTCCTGCAATATCCTTCTAACAATGTAACCGATTAAGGGCTCAGTTGAAAACTCTGGAACTGTATTAATGTCAGATAACTGGGGGAGGATATTCATGTTTTGATCTTCATTTTTGGTAGGTTACAAAACTGATGAGAGATACCCTCTCCACTGCACATGCTTGTGTAACTCCACGAAGTTGCAAAGCTCTCACTGACCTCCACTTTGAGAGGAATAGGGAATCCCCCATGTGATCTAAATATTTCTAAAAAACTAGGTGGCTGGACATTAATTCTAAGTCTTCCAACATTCTGTGTTAATTTTGTCATCGTGACAAGTACTTTCTGGGTATTTAGAACACAAAAATAGTCCAATTCAAGATTGTAAATTGGACCCTGTCCGTAATACGTAAATACCAGAATAAACCAAAAAGAACTTACCTTAACTTTCCCTGGATTTTCCTCCTCTTCCTTTTTGTCTTCAAATTCAAAGGCAACGGTCATACGTTGCTGTCGCTGCTCCTCCCATAAGGTAGGGTTAAAACTGTCACTGTCTGACTGGAAATCTGCAGGTCAATTGCAAAGAGCAATGCACAAGAGCAAGTCATTAGTGCACCCAGCAGAAGACTGGAAATGGTGTAAAAAGACCTGTTCTAGTTGATCCTGTAATCCTGGGTTCTTGTTTTAAAACTGTTGGGGGGGGCAATGAGCATAGTGACCGATAAACCATTTACAGAGTCTAATATTGAAACTGAAATGAGGGGGATGGGAAGCAACAGGGTTTCGGGGCAGATGGGGAGCGGAGGAAGAGGATGAAAACTCTCTAACGCGCCGCAGCTCTGTGAGGGGCCAAACCCTCCGTTGTGTCAGGCTCAGAGCTCTGAACCTCACAGGTCCAGGAGCTGGCCCAGCCTCCAGCTCTCCCAGATGGCTCCAGCGTCTCCGCTGGCTCTGGCCAACAGCCCGTCCGCACGGCACCGAGTCGCATCCCGGGATTCCTGCCCCGTGCACGCTCAGCTCCCGGGTTCAAATTATTGACACAAACCCATTCTTCTGGAAGTAGAAGAGCGTTTAAGAAATTGTAAATCTGATGTCCTGAGAGTAGTGGATTTGCAAACAGGATTCCTTAGGGTATGACAAAATACCGATGGCCACGTGTGCGCCGCTGGTGTTACGGGTCAGGAGGGACACACGCAGAACGATGGCTGAAACCCCGTCCTCTCCCTCCTTCTGGTTTTTTCTCCGCTACCCAAACCAGCCCTGCTCCTGCCTTTGCAGCACCGCCGATGGCGTTTTACCTTCATCACCGCGGGGTTGCTGGGGAAACATGTAGTTCGTCAGCACTCGCTGCTTTGTTTCTGGGTGAGCCTCAGTCTGCAGCGGAATGAGAGCCTTGGACTGCCCAGGAAAGGCAAAACAAAGAACTGTTAGCCGAGACGGGAATTCAGCGTTTTGTAATGAGAAAACACAAGATGAACGAATATTCTGTATGGAAAGAAGCTTCTGTATGGAGTAAACAAGGTAGCAACCCGGTGGAAACGTCTCCTCTGCCGTTCCTCACTGCTGTGATTCATAGAATCATAGAATCATAGA